GCACCAAATTTTCACATTCACATTTCTCTCTCATATGTGTTGAGAACATCAACATGGCAACTTCCAATATGACATAAGAAATAAAAAGGCATGCTCTGTTTGTGGCACTAGAAAAGTTCTCAGCCTGACCCAATTCCCAAAATCAGTATCTCAATAAGCAGACATCAGAATACTGATTTGGAAAGTGGGTTAGGTCAAGAACTTCCAGCATACCCTTGTTGATAGATGCATTAGCTAAATATACAGATATATGTTAGGCAAATTAATGACAAAGTACAAAAGATTTTGTACGATGCATTTCGTCCTTTAGGTCTTTATCAGATTAAAGTAATGTTTTTGTCGATGGAATTATACACGTGTAGGAAGTGAAGTGGGGGAATATAAAAACACAAATGTTGGTTATAATTATGCACAGACAGAAAATGTTAAAAATGTTGGAACACTAAAATTTTAAAAAATTAATTTTTTTTAGATTTTTTGATTGGTCTAACCAATTTAATTCAGTTTCCTTGTGCTTTTGTTTTTATCACTTTTATTATTAAATATCCCATATTGAGATAATAGAAGATCTGATAAGAAAGGTAAATGATGTAAAAACCTGGATGTAAAATTACTGTGGATGATCTAGTCATCAAGGCACTTTCTATACACTTTATACTTCCTATATGCCATAGTAAATTATTTTCTCTTTCAATTAGAGATATATATGTATAGATAGATAAATATAATACCGTAAGTTTATACATGTGTGTGTGTATGTGTGTCCCTTGCATGTATGTGTGTATGTTGTAGGATTCACAAAGGAAATAGAGCTAAATGAATCTCAGGAGATGGCAGTTGTATATAAAATAAAAAAATAAATATCAAAGAAAGATTAAGAAAAATTTGGTATTTAATGGAAAAGAGATTTTAAAGGACAAATACTGAACTTGTCCTCATGAGATTAAAGTAGAATCAAATGGTTAAGCTGTACAGATTGAATTGTGAATTTAATTTTTCTGTTTTATTTTATTTTTTGACATTCACACACACATATATATGTTTGTATATATATGCATGCGTGTGTCTATATATATATAAAATTGTGCATTTGGGTAGCAATCTTTCTTTTATACAAGTTTTATTAAAAACAACTGAGAAGTTTTTTTATTTAATTTTTCTTGTGTTCTTTTTTTCTTTTCTAGACATAATGTATGAAGAAATTGTTTGACTGTTTTGTATGTCAGAGTTTTTTGGCTATTCTCTTAGCTATTATCCAGATTTTATTTTTACTTTTAACTGAATGCATAGATTGTTTTTATGTATGTATGTATGTATGTATGTATCAAAAGTTGTAGGAATGTTTTTATTTTTCAAACATGGTCAGTACATTGTGGCCATGTTCATAGTTGATGTTATTGAGTGTTGACTTTTTCTTTCTTATTAATAATCCTTCCATTATTTTTAGCCTTTTTTTACATGTGGATGTGACTATTATATTTGTATTGTCTCTGTACTGGTAAGTCTCTGTTGATACAAGACCTAATTGAGCTATGGTCATATATATATCAACTATAAAAGTCAATGTCTTATTACAAAACAATGATTATACAAAATTTAATAAACCATGCAAAAGTTAACTCTTCCACAACAAAATTTTCTTCATTGAATTAAAACATGTTGAACAAATTCTCATTAATAACGACTTTCCTAATTACATTGATGATGAACAAATTAGATGAGCTATTAGAAATATTAACATAAATCAAAAAGAACATAATACTTCCTCAAATAACCTTAAACATATCAACCTACTATACTGCAATCAAATACACTCTAACTACAAATACAATGAAAAAGTCATTAAAAAAACCTCATAAGTAATAATATATCCCCCACTGATCCCAGTAAAAAAAATAAAACTAATTATACACTATACTAAATTTAATACAACCAACTTAATCATCCACAATAATTCTTCTCTGTCAACTAATATATATATATTATAAATTTTTTTAAGGATATTTGGCTGAGCTAAGAACTTCTCAGTAGCCACTCACACACAGACATTCTCACACACACACATGCATAAATACACACATGTATGTATGTAGATATATACAATTTATTGAAATTTGCTAATTTATTTCAAAATGACTTCAGATATGCAGAAAAAATACCAATTATTAATATAATAGCTCCCTTCTGTCAGCAACATTTTTAAAATCATTTCACCCCAAGCAAGGTGATAAAGACACTAAGATGCAAGAGATTACTGAGTGAGAAAGAGCCTGAGAGAAAAAAACAATATTAAGGAGAGAGGTCAATAAAAGAACAGGACTTAAGATAATGATTGACATTGCATTTAAATTTTTTAAGATCAAAGTTGATTGAAAAGTAAGAAGCCAGAATAGAGTTCCACAAGCAAGAATGTGAGGGAAGAAACTGTTAGCATAGAACTTATGGTTACATCTTAGCAATTTCAACTGTAAAATGATGAAATCTTGCTGCCAATTTAGTATTGTGCTTAAATTCATAAAGTTGAAGTACCAAAGAGGAAAGATCATCAGAATAATTACCATGAAAATATATATAGAAAAGACAGAGGAAAGCTATATTACAGTGGTGGGAAAGTGACTGAAGCTACAGTGACAGGTCAAGGCCAATAACATTGCAGAATCTTCTTAGGATTTTTTCAAGAATCTATAAATACATAAGAGAAGCAACAGACCAGTTGTGACAGCAATATTCAATGCCTGGATGAATGGTAATTAATTACATTAATTCCTGTTTGCTCAAAAACATTTTTATCTCATTCCCAATGCACAAAATACAGATTAAGTACTAAAACTTACTGAAATATTTTTTAGATAATATTACATTGATTGATTGACCGATTTGTTTTTAATGACTTATCAACCACTTGCAGGTTATTTAAAGCCAGAAAATATTTTAAATTTTAAGAACTTTTTCAAGATACTAATGATTTACTGATACAAATCCTACTAATTAATATATAGCTGAAGGGAGAAGAGGTGGACCCATACCTTTCCCAAGGGTATTTGCATGTAAGCGAATATATCAAACCTGACTGGAATTGGAACTCAGCTCTCCAATTTCCAATTCCAAGCTGTTTACACCACTTGCACATCCAAGCTTACAGTACATGGTATTCCCAAGTTGTCACCTATCTAGGTAGAGATAATATTATAAAATATGATGATTTGTCATCATTTTTTTTTTTTTCTTTATTTTCATTTTTTATTTGGCAGGGACTTGGACAGTTAGAAAGAGATTACTTGGATCAGTTTCACACACACACACACACATATATATATATTTTATTTTAATCCTCTTGAACTCTGATCAACTTCTTAATAAATTATATATTGTAGGGAATATAAACGATATTTTTTTTAATGTTTAATCAGTTAGAAATAAAACTTTTACTATTAAACAAACTAAAAAATTCAGTACATTTTTTAAACAAAATATCTTGACAACATTTAACTTTTTTCTGTTATAAATTTAATAACATAGTGCATTCATGTACTTTTCAGTGTATGGAATATAATGACATTAAAATTGATTTAATTCATCTTTGTTCTGATACCCTATTAAAAAATTCAAATAGCACCTGAAGCAGGGGAAACAATTTTAAAATGACCTATAACTACAAGGAAACATTAAAAAAACAATTGAACTAATGCAATGCAAAACAGCCAATTATTCTGTTCTGACCTAATACATATCTCACTGCTTCCTACTTGTGAGAAACGACCAAGTTTGAGAGAAAATGGAAGCAAAAAGGACACTTGTATTTAACATAGACAGTTGAAATTTCTAGGGTTCATAATGAGGAAAGAAGGCTTGGAAAATTTGATACCCATGGGTTAGATTGAGGATATAGAGACAGAGGAAAACAACACATAACATACCTAGCAAGATGAGTAAATGGAGGAGCAGGGTTTAAGAGAAATAACAAAAAAATAAAATTTATTAAGAACTACAGAGAACAGGAAATTGTGGAGAGCCATGATCGCCAATGTTCTGAAGGGACATGGCACATAGAAGAAGAAGAAGAATTGCTTTGATTTTTCAAGATATTTAAATAAATTAATATCCTGATTTAGCAGAAATTTACTTTATGTGTGGGGCAAGGAAAGATTTTGCTGCCATCCAATATTGGGATACCAGTTTGAAGAATTTCATTATAAAGAAATTTATTTAGAGAATAATAAAAAAGCAAATTCAAAAACTTTAATTTATTAAGTCTGTCTCAGGTTTTGTGCATTTGTACAGCAGTCTTTTTCAATATGGATTATTGTGATGTCATTATTCAATAAATGATCTACAAATATGGTTTTGTGTCAATTTTTTGCTTAGTTCAAAAAATATAGAAATGTTTAAAAATTGCTTATATGTAGAAGAAGAGTACTAAATATCGGAGATTGAGCATTTGTAGATAATGTGAACATAGAAATCCACACTGTGCTTTAACAACTTAAGCAATCATCATACAATATTTTTTTGAATGGATTCTCCTGTTGTAAATGACAGATGAGGGTTCAGTAAATTCTAAATTTTTACTGAACAACATGCACAAGCAAATTGTTTAAAGTCGCCAATTGCCTGTACCCTGCAATGCATACTCTCTCCATCATAACACCATCATATCCTATGCTGGTGTACTATGTACCACATGACAAATCATGCTACAATCACAGGCTTTTTTGAATTAGTGTTTTCCATCTCCTAGCAACATGCAGGCTGTTGGATCCTATAAGAAGTTCATCTACCCTTTTGCCAACCTTGTCTAGATTCATAGTTTTTCTTCACCTAGCCTGGTTGCCAACTAAGGTGATAAGGCCCAGTCTGTCTTGCTATTTACCCATAACTGGTGGTAAAAGAGATGGATTCATAACTTTCCTGTGAATATAATAAACACGACTGGAATTCGAACTTGGCTCTCCAATTTTTCATTCAAAGCCATTGTTCATTAAATAACCTGCTCATCCAAGCTTACAACATCTGGTATTCCCAAGCAGTCACCCATCTAGATACTGACCAGGCTCAATGTTGCTTAATTTTGGTGATTGGATGAGAACAGGTGTTTCAACATGATATAGCCATAAGCACCATATATACAGTGCTGCATAAAAGTAAGTGAACCATTAAGATAATATTAAATAAATTTGTCTCTGTTTTTTTTTCAGATAATCAACAAATCTTAATTAAACTATATATTCATTAAGAAAAACCTTTATTACATGAATTATAACAACTTTCAAAATTTTTTATCAACCTGAAACAAAAATATTAATTAAAAATTAGAAATTAAGATGTATAAAAGTAAGCGAACACTTACATTTAATATTTGGTAACTCCTCCTTTTGAGGTCATGATGTTGATTAGTCTTTTTCTATAATTTTTAAGAAGTTTCTGGCAGTTGTAAGCATCAAATTTTACCATTCATTTTGGCTAAACTCACACAATCGCTAAGTATTATCTGGGTTTCTTGCATGTACTGCCTTTTTTAAGTTGAGCGACAGATTTTCAATTGGGTTTACTCAGAACTTTGACTAGGCTATTCCAAGACTTGAAATTTCTTTTTTTTTAACCTGTTCCTTTGTGGATTTGCTTTGTTTTTCTTAATGAATATATAGTTTAAGATTTGTTGACTATTTGGAAAAAAGAGAGAAATTTTTTTTAATATTAACTTAGGGGTTCACTTACTTTTTCACAGCACTGCATATATGATAAAAATATAGTTTAAGATATGCTATATTTATGGGTTAAAGTGCTCAATATCAGAGATAGAGTGTTTGTAAAAATAAAAGTAGAGATTGAGGTCAACACCCAGTGGCAACATTTTGTTTTCTGCTTAAGCACAATCTTCTAGCCATTCAGGCCATATATATTGTATTATAAAATATAAGCACAGCGAATATGAATCTTTTCCATTGTTTACATTTATAATATGTTTAGCTGTTTCTCCTTCAGTTGCTTATGGCTGTACATGTTTCCGCAATGAGTATAGCATTACAAACTATACTTTTATCATTATTTTTTACTTTTTAACTTATTTAACTAGAAGATGGTATAAAGAGATAGAGGAAAAGAGATTAGTCTATTGTAATTTGGTCTCTCAAAAAGGAACATGCATGATACATGTAAAAAGAATTTTCAACACATGGAAATCACGGAAGCCTTAATCACCACAAGAAGAACCACAATTACTACTGTGAGACGAGCCTTAGAACTCTTTCCCCACTGGTCTATATTTGCTTGACCCTTTCTTTCTCTCAGCGATGTTTGACCTAATTTCACCTGGTGTACCAAACGGAAAATGCAACGCCATTTTCTACTAACACTTTCTTCTTCTGGACTGAAATAGATAAAGTGTGAACCAAACCACTAAAGGTGACTCACTGTCCTTTATCTTCAACCACAAAAGGTGACTCACTGTCCTTTATCTTTACAACAATGCAACTAAGAATTTGCAAGTGCGATATTCAATTGACAATAATAGCAAATTTTCTTACGCTGCTTCTATTAAATCTTGTGCGCCAATTTTATCCATGCATACCAAACAAACAACCTTGTTTTTCAAACAAAACTACGACCAGGCCAGCAAACAGGTTGATGGGATGACAAAGCCAATTCAACATGGAGCAACGGAAAAAAGACAAATTTTGATAGCAAACGCATACTACTACCGACGTTTTTTTACAGGACATGCCCCGACTCTGACCGACTAGAGAAATACACAGCACTGAGCACCCTGATGACAACACACGCACATTTCGTCGAATCACACATATCAACCACACTTCTGACACATTTTCTTTTCAGTTCACAAGGACAATATTCAAAACTTTCTTGAACCTTTTTCTTACATATTAAAAGTTTTCGTTTCCTACAACTTTCAATCTGAGAGGAGTTATTGTCGGAGTTAGCTCCTCCTCGCTTGGAGATGAGGTGGTAATTCTTCTCTCATTTCAGCTAACACCAATATGTGAGCTCTCACAGATACAGCGTTTCCCAAATTCTGGGAACACGCTAAGAACAATACATGTATGTACGTACACTCACTACAAAACACACACATAATATTCACCACATGTACTCAATGTAACTGTCCATTTGCTTGTAACTTGTTATTAATACATATATTTGTTTACATATATTTATCGGTCTTGTTTGTTTTCTTTGGACTTAATTAAAGTCCAATATTCTCATGTGGTTGGACCGACTAGCAGAAAATTCTACCCACATGTGTTCTTCTACAATACATACACATCCTACCTAACGGTCCACTACAAGAGAGAGCTAGATAAAAAAAAATAAATAGAGAGATAGATACATATATACATACACTTGACTTTCAAATAGATGGGGTAGTTGGAATATTCTATAATTTTTTAGTAATGAATTACTTTGTCTTTGAATATTCACAGTTCAAATTAAAAAGTTGGAAGAAAATTCCAGAATATTTAATAAATGGAGTGGTTGAAATAAAGATGTCCTGGGTAGATTTTTCTCCCCAAATGTACAAAAGTATACTTGTCCCAGTCTGTCTATTTGAAACTCAAAGGTATATATGTCATGCTGAAAAAATAAATTTGTCTCTTGTATAACTATTGACTTAAATTTTAATTTTCATACTCATAATTGTTTGACTTTTATTAGTCTCTTTAAAATTGTATTTCATTTAGAGAGAAAAAAGCTACACTTCTTTTTTGGCAATAATAAATTTCCTATATTATTTACATATAACCCATCCCAGCAAACACTTGGATACATTTGAACTGAAATGTAAATTTTCTCAGATTTGATGATAATGTTGACTGAAAAAGTCTAATATATATTATTAATTTTAATTTTTAGTATTTATTTTTATAGCACTACTTAAATATCTTATTAAGAATTTAAATTAAATTATATATTTATTATATTTTAATCAAAAGTATTCACAAATTTCTTTAGTTACATTTTAATGGGTGTAGATAGGTTCACCTATTGTCTGATGTTTCATGGGAGCTTATTTTATGAGACACTGCTTATGTAGGCTAAGCTGGTCATGTGATGTAGAAGTGCAGGCAGTTTGGATTAGCATGGACTACTATGAAGACAAACATGCCAACTTGTGATGTTGAGTGTCAATGGCCATAGCTGATATCGATCATGGAACATGGTGGCAGCAGTACACTAAGTCAGTGATGAATGAACAATGAAAGGGAAAAGATAACAGTGCAAGAGAAACAGATAATTTTTGTGTTCTTGTTTTGATATTGTAAAAATTCCAATCACGTGGTGTAAACAGATTGATAGAATATGAAGACCATGTTTAAATTGGCCATTTTATTTTTAGAAAAAAGGGAACTCCTTTTTTGAGAAGAGTTCTACAAGGGAGACAGCTCCAAAACATGACATCCCTCTTTTCATCTGGAGTTTTGTGTAATGTCTGGCTATAAGTTGTATTTGGTGGAGGGGTTTTATGATTCAACCTAGCCTTATGGTCAGAGTGTCTGGTCTTTGAGTATGTAAGTTGGTGTTGACTGGTAAGTGACTGACTTCCAGGCTGATTTTGTTGGAGATGACCTCTGGTGAGGAGCTGGGAGGGATCCTCAGTTGACTAACTGCACTGTTGTTTCTGGTCTGGGAATGTTTTTTCTTTAGGTGTCATCAGTTGCAGCAGATGACTTGTCCAATAGGAGTCTGTACCATATAGGGTCTTGGTTCCATGCAGTCCATTTTACAATTGTAGGAGTCAATTTACCAGTGTCCTGGTTTTATACACAGACATGATATCCCACATGAAGGATGGGAAGCTCCCTAGTGTTTTGGTTGTGATATAATTTTTTGATTGCCTTTGGTATTGGCAGTTTGCTATTTCATCTTTCCTTGCCTGATGGTTCATACAAATTGACTGGTATGTTGCTGGCAAGTTTTCAATTGTATAAGAGCTCATCTAGTGAAGGGATAAAGTCATTTATTAGTATAGCTCTAGAGCAAGGGCCGGCAACCTATGGCCCTCAAGGGCGGATCCAGCCCGCTGGCAGGCATTTTGACCGCCCAGAGCCTGATTACCAATGACTATTTTTAACATGAGAGACGACCTTCAATTGAAATTTGTTATATGTCATTTTCCATAGAATGTCTACACATCTCGGTGCACTAAAAATATTAGACTATCTGCCAGTTATCTTTCATGAGACTTATTTTACTAAGTTATGCTGTTTACGTTTAATGTCAAATAATGGATACATATTTGTTATGACCCTTGGCTACATTAAAAGATAACAGAAGTGAAATGAACGATAAAGTGAAAGAGGCCAGGGAGGGACTGACATGTGAGGTAGCAGAAATCTAAAGACAGTTAAACATATGCGCATTATACATACATGCCTCATGATGATACCACATGTGTACGTACGTAAGTGTATATGTTTGCAACTATTTGTACTTGTATGTATGGGTATATGTGCTTCGTTTTTGTTTGATGTGTGTGTGTGTGGTTTCATTTGTGAAACAATTTTCAATAACAGTTTCAAACCTACACGTCATAATTTCATCCATTTCACTTCGGTTAATTTTTTTCACTTTGAAGTATTTTGACGTTCCTTGAGGAAAAGTAATTTTTTTTAGGTGTTTTTTAATTTTAGATTTTCTTTTGTTTTTCTGATTTCTCAATGTTTATTTTCATTATGGTTTTAAATATTTAGGTTGACAAGGGTCTGCATATGTAATTTTCCTTAATTTTTCATTAATGGCCTTCGTCTGGTCTGCAACCCGTCATTATAACACGATCCGGTCTGCGGGGTCAAATGAGTTGCCAACCCCTGCTCTAGAGCATAGAAAAACCATGTTGCTGTCACAGTTGTACTAGACTGCTTTCTTCATGGCAGATTGTATGCACTACTCTGCCATCCCATTTAATTGTGGGTACCTTAGGGATAAAGCGTGGTGTCCAAATTTCCACTCTTTCATGATCTCTTGGAACAAGCTGGAGCTGTAGTGGAGCCCATTATCACTGATAGACCTTTTGGATACTCCCTGTTCTCCAAATGTTTCCTTGGTTACATTGACCACTTCTTGACTGGAGAACTCTCTCAGTCTATGTATGAAAGA